CAATTTTTATCCTAAATTTTGTCTATAATTACCGAGTTTGTTGTTGTATTCCGCGGCTCGCGATTCCTTGCGTTGGGTTATTATTTTCAATAGGTACGCGGTAGGAGAGCCTGACGGAAACTGGGCGAAATAAGGATGCTGTTCTGCGCGTAGTACTATTCGACTTTATTCGTAGTTCGGTGACGTTCGGTGCGTGATGGTCACTAGACAAGAATCTCGTGTTTCGACGGAAAAGGTTTCTAGATATAGCTTCGGTAAGTACGAGAGTAGGGATTGGTTTCAGAGGTGAATGTAGGGAGAGGCGGTGAGGTCTAGGTTCAGCGATGAGTAAAGGATGATGTGGAGGTCTAGGTTTCGGGGTGACTAACGTTAGGATGATGCGGATTTGTTTAGTTAAGGAAAGGAGGCAGGATGACTAAAAACTAACGAGAGATAGGAGAGAGGTATACGACATTGTGGAACGAAACGTTTCCGAGTGTAACCCTTTCACTGCTGTCGACAGTAGGTATCGGGCGATTTATTTCAAAGACATAAAGCAGAAAAAACTGAGCACAAACGTGGTGTGGTTCACGTTACTGTGGTAACTTAACTCGCGGACATGTTTCATAGGTAATGACTATTAACGTTACAACTCGGCCGTGCACAGCGAGAGCTTTACCTCCTAGTAGTGAAAGGGTTAAACGTTGCAAATTATAACCGGTGGTCTGCTAAAAAGAGGAGAAGAATTGCCGACAAAAGAATTGAGTAAATAATAGCTCGATCTTCGGATACCTAACTATAAATTTCAGTAGACAGTACAGGAAGGGTTCTAATTGGTGATTTCCTTTAATGTCCGTGCGGCAGGCCGGTTTTCCGTGACCCAGTTGCGTTCAAATGAATATCTTAATAGCTGGCGGCGTAAACAAGCGGCGTCGAGGTCGGAAATCGGTCGCGATACACGTTTCTAGAACTCTGTTATCATTTATGCCAATTAAGTTGGCCCCCGCGTAATGCGACGATATTAGCCTAACAAAGTGGCCGTGGTTTGCTCGCGCGTTTGTTTTCTCTGCCGGTGCTGCCTTGCCTTTAATGCCCCGCCGGAATATTAAAGGCTTGCTTCGAGATAGAGAGAGAGAACATCGGAAAACGTAGTTAAGGCACGTTGGTATTACGGGATCCTCCTACCACTCGCTGTTTTCTCCATCGTTGTCTATTTGTTATCCGCTCCGCGACTGCCTAATTGCAGTCGTCAAGTGGAAATAGTTATTTGCAAGAAATAGAACGCGGTCGGCCTCTGCGTTCTTACAATCTGGCGGAGTAATTTGGAATTTTTACGTGGATTCGCTTAGATTTTAATTCCCTTGGAGTTCACGAAATTGTTGAAGTGTTTGTTATCATTGATAAGTAACTTTCTGATTTTAATCTCTTTGTAGATTATGAAAAATTTGGTGACCCATCGGTGGGTCATATGGGGAGATCAGAGCATCACTGGATGACCCATCGGTGGATCACGCCGAATATTCAATCCTTTTTGTGATCCACGTTGAAACGACTCATCTGTGGGTCATGTTGGGAAGTCATTTCTCAATGACCCACGGTGGGTCACGTCGGCCACTCAATCTTTTTTGTCATCCACGTTGAAATGATCCATTGGTGGGTCACGTCGGCACATCAGAGCATCACTGGATGACCCATCGGTGGGTCACGCCGAATATTCAATTCTTTTTGTGATCCACGTTCAAATGAAATATTAGTGGGCCACGTTGGAAAGTTAGAGCATCTCTCAATGACCCATGGTGGGTCACATTGGCACGTCAGAGCATCACTGGATGACCCACCGGTAGGTCACACCGAATATTCGATCTTTTTTATCATAAACGTTGAAATGACCCATTGGTGGGTCACGTTGGCACATCAGAGCATCACTGGTGGGTCACACCGAATATTTAATCTTTTTTATCATAAACGTTGAAATGACCCATCGTGGGTCACACTGATAATTCAAAGCATCCCTCGATGACCCACCAGTGGGTCACACGGTCTCTCCAATCTTTCTTCTCATGAAGACGTTCGTCACGTCTAACAGCATCTTCACACCTTGCCGAACGTTTCACTGGATCAACAACATCACGGAGTCACACAGCTCGATTAATACTTAATCCAGAGCAAATTTCACACTGCCACCGTTAACAACTATTTCTTCGTCGCGCTTCAATCACTTCAAAGATGTCCCGGATTTACCCAGGGATTTGCTCGATCTATTGTTGCCGCGTTCCCATCCTGTCCAAGGCCATAAACATTATCGACCGGTGGAATCGGTTCAGCGGAACGGAGGTGGTCGCGATACGAAGCGAACATTACGTCGCGCGTTCCAATTTCAAGCTTAACGGAGTATCTAAGATGCTTCCCCGTAATGGAAGCGTTCTATTCCTTCCTTTTTCTCGCCCCCGTCAGTTAGAGAGAAAGGGAAACGCGTCGTAGTCGTTGTCTTGTAATGGCCAGCCGCGAATTGCATGAAGAAAGAGGCCAGCGAATTAACTTTTCCACCGTTTTCCACGGGTTTCACTGGCTCGATAAACGCTGAGAAATCATTCTCCTCGCCGACAGAACGATAGCGAAAGAGAGAGAAGCTTAATCAGCTGTAAATTACACCGCGAGTAGAAACGACTCGTGACATCGTTGGCCAACAAATCGCGCGCCAGTGAAAACTGTGAAAAAGTGTTGGACCGGACGTCGAATCGGTTTTGTGAAAAATGAAATGGCTAGCCAGTGACGTTCCCTCGGATTTATGACTGTTCGGTTAAAACACGCGCGGAAAAACAGCTCGGAATAGATCGTATAAGGCTCAAGTGTGAGTTATAGGTCCCGGTTTCATCGATATCCAGAAAAAGAGTGTCCTTTTTAACGAGTTACAAAGACCTCGTTGACGTGTCGATTTTTACAACTGATTGAAAATTCATTCGAGATTATACACGTTTACCAGTTTCTTGCATTCCGTGTACTTATTCGTACATGTATCACGGAACGGAGACACGTTGACAAAGTACGATAAGTATCGGTTTAACACGTTCATTGCCACGGTAGATTTGCTCAGGGGGCATCACGAAAATTTTCGTTATTCCAAGCATAGTATTATATCATGCTTTATTTAATTCAAAATAACGTCTAGTTATCTATGACGTTCGAAATTGTTAGTCGACGATATTCGTTTTATTTTAATTATTCTGAATATTCGACGCCCTCCGGTCACAGGTGGCCCCATCGAGGAAACAATCATAGGTGATCAACGTGTTACCGGAGCTGCGTGCGTAACGGTACAAGGACCAATCTCTGATTTTTCGAGGATCTGCAAGGGTTTGGTACACTAAGGGCAGAGTTCAAGGGTGAGACGGAGTTAGTCAGGAAAGGTTCGAGAATCGAAGACTAACACTTCAATCTACAGCGCGATTTGGGATACTAGATAATGTCGGTACACGACAATTTCCTCACATCGACGAATACCTAGAGAGAAGTTGATCCAAGCTTCTTCAGCTCGAATGCATATTTTAGGAGACACAGTTCTGCCTGTTCGAGCAGACGTTCCTCGAAACAGCTGACGAAGCGCCTTCGAGGAAACAAGTCGGTCCAGATTACGTAAACGTAGCAGCACGAAGGAAAATGGGATGAAAAGGGTGGAAGAAAACGGCGAGACAGAGAGAGAGAGAGGGGAGAAAAAATGCCAGGTCTTGGGGGTCTATCGGATTAGCGAAGGAAAGTTTGATAATTATTCGGTAAGCGGGCCAGACTATCCGCAGGAAGGGGAATCGCGAGGACAGGAGAGTGGCGACTGTCGCGGTGGCAAAAGTGACTTGTCACCAGGCTGAAACCTGGGAGAGAAAGGGTGAGAGAGAAGGGAGAGACGAAGGAGAGACAGGGCCGAAAAGCAAGTTAGAGGGAAAGGAGGACAGCGGAAGGTCGGAAGACATAATTAGCAAGTTTAACACGAGTCGCTGTCTCTCGAATCTCGTTACCGTTTGGCTGTCGCCTTTCGTTCGAACATTGGGTGAAAGAAAATCGGTTCTACTTCGTGGAGAGGTCACGAAGAGAAGAAAAAAGGCTTCGTTATCGAGCAGGCTTAAGGACGAGACCCCTATTGGTCGTCACAAATTACAAACCATCGTGACATTCTTTTTTCATGCATTTTAGATTTGAATAAATATTCTGTCGAATAACTAGTTTAATTTTCCTCGTACTCGAAAGTCTCAATAATAATTATACTCCAGGCCGTGAAGCCTCAACCCTATTTTATTTGTAATGCACTTCAAATTTTTATAACTAATTATATTGAAAATAGCATTAAGGGTCATATACACGTGTACCTGTTGCTTATCCGGGTAAAAAAAATATTGCAAAATATAATACATATTTAAATTAAAAAACTACTTCATTCATACCTGTGAATAAGACTCGACAAAGGAGACCAAAGGGTTAAATCTTCGATTGAATAACAAGTTTGTTCGAAGAGAGTCTATATACAGGGTGGACCACGAAGCGTTTATAAAGAAAAAGTTTACAAAGAACCTCCAACAACGCCGGAAGATATGCGACAGAGAATTGTAGATGCATGCTTAACCATCGATGCAGACGTCACAGAAAGAACTAAGCAGTCACTTCTTAACCGTTTACACGAGTGTACTGCTGCTAGTGGACACCATTTTGAGCATCGATTCAATTAAGGTAAATGATATTTTTTTAACGTTTCTACGGTGTTTGCCGAGTTCGCCTCGGTGTCTCCTAAAAGATGGGTGTAAAGAAATTGTAGGTTTACCTATAAAAAACCGAAGGTGACCTTGATAACTCTGGAAGAAAAGGGTTGACAAAAAATTATCTTAAAGCTCTCCTCGAACCATGTTATTTCAGCTAAAAACACTTCCGACCGAACCGCTAACAGCAGAATAATCGGAGCTGATCACGTTTCGTGGTCCACCCTGTATACAACTGTAACCTGAGCATCGGCGAAGCAAGAAACGAAGCAGAATTACCTTGGTAAACGTGAGAGTGGCTATAGGCGGCAGCCTAGACAGATTCGGATAATAAAAGCTTCCCGCGGGATGTGCCGGATATCGTGACGTGATCCTGTATGCGATTCCTTGTGGTTGCGTGGGCCAGTTGGCAGCGGTGAATGTGAACCCGTTATCCGTTCCGCCGTCCAACGGATCCAGCTTCGAGAGAGAAAAAAACAGAAAAACACACATATACATACACACAGCGTTGAAACCATCTTTCAATGGACCATCTCCTACATTTTAATGAGAGGCCAGAGAATCCATAGTTGAAACCAAACTGTTCTAAAATAGTCCACGACCTATATACCTTTCCCAATCACCTAAGAGAGCAACGTATCCACCAGAACTTTTTTTCTCCTCTCTCTCCCTTTCCTCGTGCCTTTTTCCCAGCCGAAACTACCGCTTTAATGAACGAAGAGAACGCTAATGCCTCTCCGTGTATCCGAATGGTTAAAAAAGAAGAACCAAGCCTCTTTCTATAGCCCGGAGCTTTTGTTCAACTCTACGAAGAGAGAAAACTACGGATGAATAACGAGAAACCACCCCTCGGGCTTTCATCTAATTTTCCATATAAAGCAGTCTAATTCGACATCGTCGTCATTAAAAGCACTACGAACCGGTGGATTGAAATTGTTGCGAGAGAGAGAGAGAGAGAGAGATTGCTGCGTGTGTATATTTGAGGGATATCTCCGGGCATCGATAGGAGAATCGACGATCGCTATCTAGCCGAATAATTACCTCGACGGTGACCGTATCGACCCAATTGCCCTCCACGCACAGCTGGAAGGAGTCGACACCCATGAACCAGTCAGGGCTGGGGTTGATGCGCGCCATGATGCTGATCAGAGTGTGATTCCCATCCAAGAACGCCCTAGCGATGCTCGTTCCCTCTCCCTGGGGTACAGGTGGCCCTGTGAACGAATGTAGACTGTTTGGCGAGTCTCCATCCGTGTCTAAACCGTCTGTTCTTCCGGTCTCCACGTACAGCCTCACACCGCTGGACAGCCTTTCGCCTAATCTGTACAGCGTGTAGGTGGAATCGTGTGTTCGACCTGGAATTTCAAGTTGGAAACAGATATGCGTTAGAATATTTTCCAATTATTATAACGATTATCCGACCCGGTGAAATATCGCGATTATAGAGGTTGCTAAAGCTTTAATCACGAGAGAATTAATTAACGAACGGTACTCCCGCGTTAATATCGAAGCCGCTGTACGATGCGTGGTTAATTTATCGGAAATGGCGAATTAGGTGGAGGCGTTAACGTTGATGGAACAACGATCATTTTTTCCACGGTTTTTAGCGAACGAATTAGGTATTCGGGCAACGATGCAGGTGAGTTAGGGTGAACGGTTATAGGGATCGTTACCAGCACCAGTCCTACCCTTCTGATGAGATAGTAGAATTTACGCGAGACAGAGAATTTATGGTCGATGAATGCAGCCCCGTCTCTACGTGTACTCTGTGCTCCGTGTTTCCGAAACAGACTGATATCTGCTTCTGATGTATTCAGAATTTCCATCCTGGCTCATTTCGCAGCCAATAGACAGACACTCGGATGTTCGTGATGGTACTACACCTGTCTTCCGGTAACGTTTCCTTCGATCGTACGACTTAAATCTATCCTAAACGTTCCTTTCTTCGGATGTACACTTAAGATCTTTGGGTCTTTTTTGACCCAGATATGTACCTTCTTATGTGCAGCAATGTTTTTTAGTAGTTTGAAAGTGACGTGGTGTAAATGATTACTCGCCAAGTGTTGTAACAAAAATATATTTATTCAAACGGTAATGCTTGAACTATTTTTAAATGTAAGGCGATACGATACGCGTGCAAAGAAGGTCTACGACAAAAGTCCTCCTCGTGCCTTTTCCCTGGGAAAGTCCCAGGAAGTGGGTGTGCGGGCCTGCATTGCCGAGGCAATACTCTTGTCCTCGAGGACGAAGAAACTCGGAGATGTTTGGAAAAACATCTCTCGATTTTTCGTCCGGAGGGTCAAGACTCGCCAGGCCTAAGTGCGTGGGACCCCCGTGGCGGTTGCCACAGTAGTATACAATATGATGCTGAAAGTTTTGGTTGATTGTGAAGAAACAGCACGTAATTGTTTATAAGTTGTTTATTACAATAAATAACTCCAGTGGAATGTCCTAGTGAATGTTAAACTATCGTGGCGGTCCTAAGCGTGGGATTCTAGTTGGACGACGGCACTAGACTGACTAGCTGGTTTCTCCGAGTCCTTAGGCCAGCAAGGGGTGCAATAAACCGAGGTCAAGAAACCTTCCCCGGTTACGCACCGAGAGAGTACGCGCGTATTAACGGTGAATTCCAACATATGAATCTAAGCGATAAACTTTTAATGTAATGTTAAGGGAATGTAAATTTGGTAACAACAAAAGTTATTGAAAAAATAAGGGGGCTATGGGTCAAAAATGACCCGAGCACCGTATTAGAATGGGAGATCTTAAACTTTAACTTCTTCAGGGAGGATTTTTTCGAAGTTAGAAAATGATGGTCTAATTTTTTACGTAGTTACATTTACATTCATTTATATTCTTGGAAGATTACGTTTTTCATACCTTCTCTATCACAGATATTGGAATCTTCGGACAAATTAAGTATGCGTCAGAGTCTCTGAAGACGTTCACTGATCTGTACGTTGGATTTTAAATTCTTCCCATTCGCGGAACTGATATTTGTCCAAATTTTGGCACTAGATGTCTCGCGTCCAAAGTGTCATACGAACGATATTAGGTCGCGAGATATCTCGTCCAAAGCGTCACATAACCGGCATTAGGCCGCGAGATACCTCGTCCATAGATACGAAGGGATTAATAAGAAATTTTCAGCGCTAGTCGTTCAAAAATCTCGTCTGAGAAGTCATATGGACGGCATCAGGTCGCGAAATACCTCGTTCGAAGCGTCACATAACCGACATTAGGTCGCGAGATATCTCGTCCAAAGTGTCGCATAAACACCATTAGGTCGCGAAATACCTCAACCATAGATGCAAGGGGATTAACAGGAGATCTCGAGCGATGGTCCTTCAGAAATCTCGTCGAGTCGTAACGATAACTCTTCCTTACCACGTCGGTAGCAAAATCTCCGAAAATTGACACAGTATACGGCTACCTAAATTTTCGTTCCACCGGAAATACCGATACTGAAATCGAAAGTCACGGAGAACCAGAGATTTTCCTCCCCATACATCCATATATCGCGTATACACGGTGGTCCCTGGCCTCCACACGAGTTCTCCCATTGATCGGCTCGCATAAAAATTCCCCCGCGTGAAATTCGTAGCCAACACGCGGACGAAATAAGATAAGAACATATCGTAAAGCATAATAAAATATAAAAGCCGCGCTCGGAACGCCGAGCACGTGCCTTCTTTGCGGAACTCGTGCGCGAAAACAGGAAGCCGTTTCTCATCTCGCGGAGGCGAGCCGATCTCGTTTTATCTAGAATTCGACAACACTGCTAGAAACGATAAGATTCCACGAATACTCGGCGTGGTTTAACAGAGCATTTCCCTGTTCCTACCGTTAACAGCTCGAATATTTCGGGTTCCGTGCTTTCAGTAGCTTTCCTACTTTTCCCAGTTTCGTACGCTTACGTTTTCATCGTTTCCGCGATTCTTCGGAATTCACAGTCGTTCGCGAAAGTGAGACGCACACGTTAAATTCACATTTTTAAAATAATGTTGTGCGTCAAGTGAGATGCGAATCTTACAAATTTTCTGACGCGAGTCTCTTAAATTTCGTAACATGTTCTACAAAAGAACTTAAATTTCGTAACATGTTCTGCAAAAGAAATTCTTCCAAGAGAACAATTTTATAACGCAGGCACCATTTTGGGAATTTCTAATTTCTTCAAATTGGTAGCTGTTCGAATTTCGATCGATTTCTCTGAGTCGAGTTGGATTAGGTATCGCGAAGATTAATTTTTCAAGCGTATAAAAAGCTGACGAACATCTTTCAATAGTGTTTTTCATCAAGAGCGATGGATTAAACGAAAAATTTCTTCAAAAATCTGCCACTTTATTTATCCTTCTTACGCGAGACAAATTTTGCATCCGGATTAGAATACGAATCGTCGAATGGGCACGAGGGGACGAAGAGAAGCTGAATTTTGAACGGTTGTAACTGGAAGTTGAACGTCGGAGGATTAACGTGATCGTTCTATCGAGTTTCTCCTTATTTCCACTCGCTTCAAGTCCGACAACTGAAGATTTAATTGAAGCGAAGTTCGACAACGAAACGCAACGTTGTGTCCCGTCAATGGTGTCATTAAGAGTCGAGTAGATTCGCCGTGCTTAAATGGAACAACAACTTCCGATCTTACGTTCATAATTCAATCTCTTCGTTTAGCAAACTTTACCCAGACTCGACGACGATTCTGCACTTCGAATGGAGGATCAACGAAATCTCCGACGTAAGGTAGCGAACGAAACAGGAAGAAATTTCGAGGAAATTTTGCGCGCGTTCGCTTTTCAATTCGGACAATTTTGCATTGTACAAACGAACACACGCGGGAGCTGTTTTCGTTATAAACGTTATTGATAAACGAAGCTGCAGGTGTCCAATATCTTGTCAAAGAACACATATAACAGAGGATTAATGACGTTTGCACCGCCATCGAGAGACGACCAGCACCGACAGCCGGCTTTATTAACATTTTCACGCGTGCACACGCTCATCGATCCGACTGTCGCTGCCTCGTGAAAAATTACAGACTTGTCGTTCGTTCGTTCGTGAATTTTTTTCCCAACCTGCAGATTACCCATAAAAATTTCCACAGCGGTTTATCGATTCTTAAATAACAGCGTCGGGCAACCGAGTAAAATGTAAATAAAAGTGAAAATCTTGAAAGTATTAACGCTTACGAAAATTCTGGTGAAAAAAAAAGAGCTTTTCCCTGGCTGTTTCGAGAGGATGTTGTAATCCTGTTTGAGAAACGCTGTCGCGAACCTATTAAAGCTCGTAGACACACGTATAATCGATGGCATAAACGTTATTCAAACGGCCTGTGTGTACACAGTCGAGCATTGCGATTCAGGATCACAGGCGGCCATTAAAATTCATGAGGGCGGTTCGTGTAATTTCGTTTTTACGTGCTCGTACGCATTAATACGACCCTTGGATTCGAACGTCTCTCCCGGTTTTTCCATCGCGCGCGACCCATACACAGTTCGGTGGTCCACGCGGTGAAAGTTCGGCCGCGTTTTCAATTTCGCCAAGCCAGCCGACCAAACGACACGTCCCGTTGCCTGCGGTTTCTCCGTCTGCCTGGCAGAAACTCGCTTTTCAAAGGGTACTCCTGTCGCACGCGTTCCCCTAATCCTATCGAGTTCCATGGAGACTTAATTAGTTGCAAAATTAACGAAAACCGCGAGCTAAATGGCCTGCATGTTGTAACTCCACGTAGAAGAGGGTGACTTGTGAATTTGATTGATGGGAATGTAAGTTGTATTTAACTTTCGTACCTTCTTTTTTGGCTCTATGTATAAGGAATTTTCTTTTATTTGTTTGATATATGTTCGTGAGAATGTTAAAACTGAATAACTGAAGTTCCTAGGTTTAAAATGAGTCCCAACATGACATCTTTCGGACGATTTCTTTACGCTCGATGCGAAGTACTGAGTACACCCGGTATAATGCTTTCAGGCAAAAGTAGTCCGATTGATGTCGTGTTTGGGCTCATTTTAATAGAAAAAACCACACTTATTCATTAATAACATTCACTATTGGCGCTTATTTCACGTATCTTTAGAAAAATACTAAAACTATCGCTATTCGTTAAGATTTGTAGCGGAACATGCTAGTGTAGAGTACCATGTGAGTTAAAAATTGGGGAAAATCGAAAGGAACAACTTTCTCTACGAACCCTTAGGAGAATCCTGTAAATTTTCACGTTCCAACATTTACTTTAACTCTTTGTACGTCTTCAATAATATAAGAGGTCGCTATTCGACAGACTCCATTTTATCCAGACTCAATTTTCCACCATGTATGAATTCACTCGAAGAATTCATTCATATAAAACGAAAATTTT